TCTCATCTTATGCCAGTTCTGCTATGTTCTTTTCACTGCTGTTCCAAACTTTATATATGACTAAGCATTTCCATCACTTTCAGCTTCTGGCTTCATCACCTGCTGTAGTGCCTCTATGCCTTCAGTATGGTCCAGAGGAACCTAACTCTTCCTGGCAGTGGCTTGAACACTGGACAAGGTCACATTTTTGGGAATCCCCTTCACAACCAATTAGGAGTCTAGTGGTGAAGTCTCAGACAAAGGGTGTTGAAAATAGGCAAGGAAAGACAAAGCAAGGTGTTCGGAAACTATCCAGTGCAAGAGTTGAAAATGGATCTAGTCGTTCTTCTTCGGAGTATGATAAACCCAAACGTGTTCTTAGGGGAGTTTCTGGAAACTCAGCAGCAGATTCAGTTCGGGGGCATCCGCAAACTGAGCTTGAGAAGGTTAAGCGCAATTTAAGAAAACTTTCTAACTCTGCAAAGGACGCTTCTGATAAGTCTGAGGTTCTTAATGAGAAAACAAAGCAGACTCTGAAAAAAACTTTTAGTTCTGATGCTCCTGATGTTTCAGAAAGGGAATCTGCTGAGAAGATGAGAGATGTGACTACAGCCCTGTCAAAACCATCAAATCTTGAGGCAGACCTGAAATTTTCCTCAGAAGATGCTTCTCATGATGAGCCTAATGTCAGTCCTGCAGTTGACTTGCCACATGCTGAAAACAGTGATAAAATTGAGGACATGCCAGTAACAGAGGAGTTAAGCTCTAAGGATGAGCAGGTCAGCGATGAGAACTCAAAACCAAACCGAATAAGAGCTTCTTTCCCTGCAAAAATTGATAATCAAGAAATTGGGTTAAATAACATGCCAAAAGTGCCCAGTTATATGGCACCAACTGAATCTGCAAAAGCTAGACTTAGGGGTCAAGGCTCCCCATGGTTTACCCATGAGGTGGTCGAGAAAAATGGGTTAAACAGGCGATATTCTCTTCCATCTTCAACCAATAGCAATATAAGTACACTGTCACCACGTGCTCAAAGACTGGTTCAAGTAGCTGGCAAAGGAGCTATCCACAGCGACAAATCTAGAGATGCTAGTGGTAAGCATGACTTAATACTGGATGTTTTATGCCTTTCCATTTGTGTTTTTGTTTTGCTATATCAGTGTTATCTATTTATATGCCACTTAGTTTTCTCCATTCTTTCAGTAAAACATGGGAACTCATTCCCAGCAATGTACTTACATTCATGTCCATATGTCTTGTTAAGCATCCCATATGTTGGTAGTTCCATGTAATATTTAGCATGCAAATTTCATTTTGAGTATGGTATCTGAACCAAATATTCATTTAGGTTCTTTGCTGATTATTTCTGCTTTATGAATCTTTCTTTCGAGGTGGGCTTTTAATTTAACCAAACTTTCCTGCCTGTCCAAGATTTAGTTTTGCTAAATTGTACAAAAATATGTTTGTTCGATTCATCCGTCATTTCTGATCCTTGTTTGAGAGGAAACCATCCTGCCACCCATGTGGTGTCCGATTTTATTTTATTTAAGCTTATCTTTATCAATATTTTTCTCACATTCAGTTCAAGTAAGATTCTCTCTATGACTATTCTGCTAAATGACTGTCCATTGTTGGCTTGGCAATTTCAGATAAGGTGGTCAGACCTGAGTGGAGGAGGTAATTTTTGCAAAAGGAAACGTTCATTGAAGTTCTCATATAGTTCAAGCAGAGATGCAACTTAATACAAATTTCGTTATATGTTGTCACTTCTGATGTGTGGTTGTAAAACCATGACAATTAATCATCTAATCTTTGTATCCTTGGTGCATTTTTAAGTTTCCTTAGCACTTTCAGTAGCATAGTTCGGTAAATATTTATAGATGCTACGGTTGGTTGTTTGGTTTCTTTTGGTTCTTTGTGTTTGTATAATTCTTTAGCTCCCCGTTTGGCTCTTTTGTATCAGAGTTCAAACATGATAATCCTCTTTCCATTTAATATCATGACGAATACGGTGTTCTCATCTGCAAATAGAATGCTTTGGCTTTCACAGATATTGACGTTCTGTTATAACATGTTAGGTCAGTAGGGTTTACTGTATGCCCTAACCTGTTGGTGTGAGCACTGCCAATCTTATTGCTTATTCTCGAGTCAGTACATTAATAAATGTCTTGAAATCTGAGGATGTTGTGGCACCTTGAATGTGATGGTGTCTAGGTTCATTTCTCACAGACTGAATCAAACCACGCAATTAACACTTCACTAATTATAAACCTAGGACATCTTTGTCTAAATGTAGTATGTAGCTGTCTAGACGCTACACAACCAGAATAAATAACCTAAAATGACTCATCCTTAAACAAATTGAGGGTTTGTGTTTAACTTGTCTTATTCATAGATTGTAGTCATAATTCATATAATTTATCATATCTAGAAAACCCACTTCATACCTAGTTCATATTAGCCCAGTATCTGGTTATGTATCTCTAAAACATGTTTTTACAAGAACCAATTAAGATTCACAACAAAAACAAGTAATAAGCTTGATCATGTCCGAAACGTACATTGATTGCAAGTAAGGAAGAAACAACCTAATCCCAGGAGTAAAAACATTGTAGATATCTTGTCACACTTCGAGACTAAGATATAATATGATCATATTATCTTGAAATAAAATCTCAAAATAATAAAAAAAAATTTTTTTAATCATTCTAAAATTTTTCAATAAAATAATCTATTTAAAAAAATCTATAACTTTAATTCAACTAATAAAAAATTTTCATATTCTCAAATGAAAACTAATAAAAATATTAAACCACTTCATAAGAGCTTACTAACCAACAATGTCTACAATATCCGAGTAATCTTTTCAATCTGATCTTCTAGCTTCTCACATAACTAAACAAATTTATCATTTATTCATCTGTAAAGAAAATATAAAAGAAGAATGAGCAAACAACAGCTCAGTAAATACAAACTCACAATCTTACCAGATCAAGCATTATTTTCATATAAATCATATAAATCATTTAAAACATTCATCAAATCATAATGTCAAAATATTTCAAAAATCATCATTTTGTCAAACATTTCATAAATTTATAAATCAATGTCAAAATATGTCAATTCATAAATCATTACAAAACATGCTACTATTCAAATATTATAATCAAACCAAATTATGAATCAATCATTAAAAATTATCATAAATCATATTCATATACATATCATGGATCAATATTTGAAATCATTGTAAATAATTACTTCATCGCTAACTACGATTACTGCTATAACCCGTAACATTAGCTATATCGACAATTTCATTATCATGATCATTGCTAACTATTATAACTTGCTAGCTAGGACGTAATGCTAACTACTATAACCTGTTAGCAAGACCGTATGATTATAGCTATGCTAAACTATTATAACCCGTTATTCATGATTGTAAAACTAATTTTGGTGTCGATGATTTCATTTTTCAGGAATGTAAAAACGTAACTATCATAAAATCGTGTCTTATACATAAATTATTTTTTTATTTCGTTCATAAGCATGATCCATCATTTACATAGCAAAACATAAAATAATCATATGCTTGGTCTTATTTTTATATATCGAAAATAAGAAACAAAACATTCATTTATTTATAAACATACATATACTTACCTCATTTCGATTCCATCACTTAAGTTTTTCTTAATGGTTTATTCAAGATAATTTTAATTTTAAAAAAATTAATCAACTCATTTTGAAACCAATTATACAAAAAAAATTAAGTTAAACAATGGTTAATTCAACTAATTAACAGTAACAGCCTAAGCTCCTTTCACTAAATAACTGTATTTCAAGATATCTAACTCGGAATTAAGATCTTTTTAATGTATTAGAAATTAGACTCGATAAGCTTTCTAACCATATATAGCCCATCTTGTGATTCTTTCTAAATTAATTATAATAATTTTTGCAATCCATGTCATATGCTACTATCAGATAACATGTATACATTCTAATAAAAATTACACATTTATTCATAAGAAACTCCAAATTCAATTCTACTTATTTCGTTGGAAAATAGACTCAATAAGCTTCCAAACATATATGATTTAATCTATAATTCCTCGCATAAAAATTAAGAAGAATTTTGAAATTCCTTACTATTGCTACTACTAGATAGCCTGCATATCCTTAAGTACAAAGTAAACTACTTTTCATAAAAAACTTGGAACAACTTTTGTTTATTTCATTGGAAACTAAATTTAACAAGCTTTCTAATAGTATATTATAATCATAGCAATATTTTATCTTTTAATACATAATATTATTTTAATCCACCACTGCAAACATCAAAATTCATACGAAATAGAAAATTTTCTTCTTAACCCCATCAAATTTCTATTATTTATTTTTACAACAATAAAATCACATTACTAAACTTTCTCAACACTTTGATAGATCTTGATTACAGTTTAAATTATTTGCTCAAACCAATCTTGAAGAGGGATAATGGATAAAATTTCAGAGTTTCTCGATTATAAGTTAAATCTCAAAACTTAACAATCAATATTATTTCTTCAAAATTGTGATACTCCAACCTAAATAATAATTGAGCTAGACTAATACTAAAGCCCATCAATTTATAAAGAGATTAATTAATAAAAGAAAAAGGGATTGAAGTATTATATGAAAAAAAACTTAACTATTGAGAAACAGAAAGGAAATAATAGTTTTTCTTTTTCATCTTCCTTAGGGTTAGAGAACATGAAAAATCAAGTTGGAGATTCAAAATCGGAGGCTACAATCAAATTAATCCCCTAAAGGTGGGTATATGCCCTATTTTTTTATTTAAAAAAAATATCAAGTTGATTACTATTATTTGGAATTGAAGTTTTGAGAGCAAAACCAAGAAAAATTATGAAATCTTTCATTAATTTTCATGATCTATTTGGGTAAATTATTGGGCTTTGTTTATTTCATGTTCTTAAGATTTATTGATGATTATTGAATGGAGTTAAAAGGTCGAAAGTGGGGATTTGAGTTTTTAAACATTGAAGAAGAAATTATGTTTTTGAATGAGATGCTATGATCTGCAACAGTGAATTAAAATAAGATTCTATATTAATGGATAAATTATTGCTATGATTATTACATATCGTTGGAAAGAATGTTGAATTTACTTTTCTAATGAAACAATCGGAAGTGAATTCGAGTTTTCTATAAAGAGTTGTCTAATTTTTACTTAAGAATATACAGGCTGTAAGGTAGCAGCATCAAGGTTGAATTTTGAAAATTGTCTTAATTTTTATACAAGGAATTACAGATTAAGTCATACATGTTTAGAAAGCATATTGAGTCTACTTTCCAACAGAACAAGCAAAATTGAATTTGGAGTTTCTTATGAATAAATATGTAATTTTTATTAGAAAGTATACAGGCTATCTGGTAGCAGCATCTGATATGGATTTCAAAAATTGTTATAATTAATCCATAAGAAATCTCGAGATAGGCGATATATGGTTAGAAAGCTTATCGAGTCTAGTTTCTAACGCATTAAAATATTTTAATTCTGAATTGGATATCTTAAGATATGATCGTTTTAGTGAAAGTAACATTAGTTGCCAGAATTAGTTACTTAAGTTAATTTTTTGATTAACTTAATTATTTAGGTATAAATGGTCTCAAATGGGTTGATTAATTACTGTTATATTGAAATTATATTGAATAGGCCGTTAATTATTTGAGAAGAAAAACTAAGTGGTGGAATCGAAAGGAGGTAAGTAAAATCTTATACACTTTACTTGTTTTCAAATCTATGTATATATGTATATTTCTAAATGAATGAATATTTTATTTTTTATTTCTTATATATGAAAATAGGATTAAGTATATGACTATTTTGTGTTTTTGCTATGTAAATAATGGATTATGCTTATGAATAAAATGATAAAATGATTTTATAATAGCTACGTTTTTATATCCCTGAAAAGTGGGATCATCGACGCCAAAATTAATTTTACGACTTTCGCTAACGGGCAATAGTAGTTAGCAAAGATATGATCATATTATCCTGACTAACGGGTAATAGTAATTAACGTAAGGCCTTGGGTAGCGAGTTATAATAGTTAACAATGATCATGAGGATGAAATTATTGATATGGCCAATTCACGGGTTATAGCAGTGACCGTAGCTAATGATAAACGAATGATAATGATGATTTATAATGATAATGATTTACGATGATTTTTAATGATTGATCCATAATTTAGTCTAATTACGATATTTGAATGATATCCTATTTTGTAATGATTTATAAAGTGACATATTTTGATATTGATTTATAAATTTACAAAATATTTGACAAAACGATAATCTTTGAAATGTTTTGACATTATGATTTGATGATTATTTTGAATACTCTATGTGATATGTATAAAAACAATGTTTGATCCGGTAAGGTGTGTGAGTCTATACTTACTGAATCGTGATTTACTCATTCCCTTTTTACTTTTTCTTTACAGATGAGTAAGTGATAAGTTGCTTAGTTTTGTAAAAAGCTAAAAGATCAAATGAGAAAGATTACTTAGTCGTCGGAGATAATGTTGATCAATGAGATCTTATGAAACAGTTTTATATTTTATATGATTTGTATTTAGATATATAAAGATATATCATTAGTTGGATTAAAAATATGAATTTTACTTGGCAGATTATATCAGTTTATTAAAAAATTTTAGAATGATTAAGAAAGAAGACTTCGTATTACTTTGAGATTTATTTTAAGGTAATATGATCGTGTTGCGTCTTGGTTTCAAGGCGTGACAAAAATTAAAAGAAATTATTTATGCACCTTTGAAAGATAAATCTCCTTATAGATTTTGTTCTTACCATTCACTTAAAATCCTTCAACTTAGTTATTCTGTATAAAAAAAAAAAGAGAAATAAGCATTATTTTCTTTCGATACGAAAATAAAAAAATAATAAAAAATAAGACTTTATTTTTCTTTGGAGACAAAAAATAATAGTATAAGTTAACCTTATTAAAAATTAAATTATTATTGATAAATCATTTCCCTTTTTAACTTTTTATAAAAACTCCCTTCACTTATAAAATACTTAAAATATTCTCTCTTTTTTTTTTACGGGAATTACATATCTACCTAGTGTTGCACTTTGTTTTTCCCGACAATTTCATATGTAAGTTACAAGAATTCAAGTGCACACATAGTTTCCTCGTACTTATTGCAAATTGAGAAACAGAACAAAAATAACCAACAAGCTGTAGAGAATAAGCTATATTCTTGATTTCCTGCCAATGATACAACCAGCTTTAAGAGTTTGAACCATGCAAGCTTCCTCGATCTTCAAGTCAGTGCCAAAAGCTTGAAAGTGAAAGACAAACAAACAGATCTTCCATGGCCGGCCTTTAAAATAATAATCTCCAAAATCCGAAGGAGTCTTGGTTACTGCTAATTATGGAAGCTATATTCATCTCCTTATCACATTTTTCTCTTATAAAGTCATAATTAGCCATTTCTCTCTCTCCTTAGCACCATCATACGAAAATTGTTCATGGAGGATCATCAATCAAAGAAAAACAAGATCAGAAGTGATGATGATCACATCAGCCAGCTTCCCAATAGTATTCTAGGCACCATCTTGTCGCTGCTCACAATAAGAGAGGCAGTAAGTACCAGTGTACTCTCAACTAGATGGAGGTACCTATGGACTACATCTCTATCAAATTTCAACTTTGATGTGAAAAACATACTTGATGGTAATGTTTACTCTGATTATGATAATAAAAATGCTTGCGTGGATTCATTTCACAATATATCCTTTTTAAGGAAAAGAAGTGAAGTCTTTTTAAACTCTGTTAAACAATTCTTGCAACATCTCAACGCTGACCATATAAAAAACCTTAAGGTTTGCTTCAAATTACGTGCTTGGCATGGTAGTCTTCTTCTTCAATGGATCAGCTATGCAGTGGCAAGAAGGGTTGAGGAAATTGATCTTTGTTTGTCAGAAAATAATTGTCTTAATGTCCTAGAAGATGATGAAAAGCTAGACGAATCTAACTTTTATCGTTTTTCCGACTATAGGACTACTACAGATGGTCATAAGTTTTTTTATTTTCCATGTGATCTGCTTCAAGGTGATGGGAGTGTCAGGAGCCTGCGATTGGAGTATTGCAATCTGGCTCCACAGCGCTCCAATCATCTTGGTTTCAGTACCTTGACAACCTTGGATCTTAAGTGGGTGGATTTGAAATCAGATGAATATTTTCAGAATTTGTTATCAAATTGCCATCTTCTAGAATGCTTGAATTTACATAAATGCTATCACATATATTACTTGAAGTTAAAGCATCCTTCCTGTCGACAGCTTAAGTGCTTAAAGGTGTATAGTCGAGATGAACTGACAGAGATGCAGATCAATGGTATTGGTCCTGAGACATTGGAATACAAAGGACATAACATAAAATTCTCATTTTGTAGAGTTTCAAATCTAAAAACTGCATTTATCCGCTTTACCAATATGACAATTGGCGACAATGTTCTTCGTCCTATCAATAAGTACAGGTTTCCTATTGATCTCCCACAGCTTGAGACATTGTGGTTAACGTACTGGTTCAACTGGAAGGTCAAAATTTGACGACTTTTTCCTATTACTTTCACATTATTGAACTACACTTGCTTATTTCATTTTTTTTCTGGTACGTGTTTTCATTTCTGATTTGATTTTGCTGCTTGAGTTGATTCCGGAGAGTTTATCAACACATTACAACCCTAAACATTTATTGATCTTGGAAGTTTTCCTACTCCAACTTGACCTTTTGTGGGTAGCAGATGTTCTAAAAGTTTTTCCATTGATACAAAAATTGGAATTACATGTGAGTTTCACGATAAACTTGCCTTTATTAGCAAACTGACGATCATTCTATACAGAAACAAAGTTTTGGAGAAACAAATTATGGAACCTTGGAATTTAAGATCAATACTTATAACAAGCCCTAGCTAGCCTCTATTGGGTTATTCTCTGAAATGATAAGAATGTGACAATTTTATGGAGGCATTCAGGTTTTGAACAAGAAAAATCACATCCTTGACTATTTTATTTTGGAATGCATGGCAGCTACGGAACTGCGATTATATTGATAGAGAAGGAGAAATAAACCGGCCTTCTAGCTGTCCTCATTCTCATCTTAAGGAAGTTCTTATTACAGGTGCATATGGTAACATGACTGAGATTGAGATTGCCGTGTATTTACTTAACAATGCGATAGTTCTTCAGAAGATGGTGATTGACCCACGTATCAGATATTATAATCGTTCTGGAACTTGTGAAACTAGAGAAGCTTGTGCTAGATGGGCTGCAATGGGACGGTAGAGGGTCTTTGAACATCTGATAGGTGAAGTTAGTGCCCCTGTAGAACTGCTGATTCTGTGAATACCAATAGGAAGAATCTGAGCTCATAATTCTTGTTAATTACTCAATTCTTAATTTGAAACGATGAACATGTAAAATGCAAGTTACTATAATGTGCCAGTTAATAAAAAGTGTCACAGACATGGCTTTTTCAGCCATTGACATTTCCTCTTGTATGTTCCAAAAACAGTTTGGAATTGTAGCAATTTGGCTGTACGGGGACCATTAGAGATGAGAATAAATCATACATCAAAAGTAATTGAAATAGAATCTAGCAAGAATTGTGGTCATAAGTTCTTGCATACCTTCTGTCGCCTTACGCCATACCTCTCTTTTGTCTATTCAATAAAAGGAAAAACACACCTTTGCACGTCAATTAGAAAGTTCATATCCAAGCATTACACAGCACATGGACTTTTCTATTAAAACATTAAAACTTACTACTATCTTGCTTCATCAGTTAAATTGAACCAGGGCAAGATCCATAAAAAAGAAGAAGATTGTTTCAGATTAATCTTCTTACGTTAGTGATGGAGTTTTTTGTTGGACCAATCTGATTGATAATGCTCAAAATAGAAAGTTATGGTCCAATTGGAATGCCAGTACCAATTTATATATCAGATAAATTTGTCGGGTTCTTTTGATTCAATTCGCTTCGTTTTTAACAGAGTTCCCAGCTGTAGCATGTTGGATGAATCACATTTAGTTTTACTATTAGCATCATCTGCTGTCTTTCCTTTCAGAACATTAACAACAAATGACATTAGGATTTCTCCCAAACATTGATAATAAATTGCTTAAGCCTAACTCTAGGGAACATTGGATGAGAGATTACTTCAACTTGGTTTGGTTGGTTGGTAACGTACTGGCAAATAACCACACTTTTCATTCACAAAGAGATTAGTGTATGGCAAGTGAACCTAGACACAGCTGTGGGAAAAATGGGAGGTAAAGAACACAGAGTGTCAGATGGCTGTTGCTGTATACTCTTCGTGCTTTTTACTCAAATATCCTTTCCAGACCTTCCTTTTCAGCATACTCTTAACCAGAATCCGGTGTATAAACCCAACCAGCACAGGATTTTTATGTAGTGCAGATGCTACTAGAGATGTCACTAACAAATAAACAAACCTGATAAATTTCTCATTTCCTCTCTGTTGAATAGCTACTTCTTAATGACTTAATCTTCAAGGAAATAATCCAGGTTAATCTTGTCAAGCGTGAGGTATGGTCTCATATACTTGAAAAGGTTTTTTCCTTCTGAAAAGTGAAAAGAAAAAGTTGAAAAGGATAGACCTAATAGATGAAAGAGTTGGAAAAATCCAGAAAGCTTTCTGTCCACTAGCTACTATTGTTCTATACCCTTTATTTTCCCTCAAATATTGACCAGGTTCAGTTCCAGCAACATGAAAGCTGTGAATTTCACTTACTCCCAGTCATTTTCCCAACCACAGGTCACCATTTCGAGCTGTGTCAATATCTAAGCTTGGTGAACCTTGCCTATATATGCAGTGAACCTTCTGTGCCATTAATATACCAAGAAACTGTAAGATGAGAAAGGGAATGTCAGCTGTTCCCTGGAGTTCCCCTGACCACTTCACTACGGCTATTTTAAGACACTTAACCGAGGAAAATTTTGCCCTAATGTAGTGTTTGGGGTAACTCTGACTACTTCATCTTTTTATGTAATTCATTGCCGTTGATGAAACCGTCTCTTCCACTCATGTTCGTGGAACATGATTGTGGGATCTCTCATGTCATCCCCTTTCCCTGTGCCCCCCTATCCACCAACAACATTGTCAACTGATGTAGAAACCCACAGCAACCTGTGAGATATTATCCGCTTTGACTCAAAAGTCTCACGATTTTGTTTAACAAAAAGTGCTTTACAAGTATGAGTTCAAATCTCTACATATATATAATAACAGATTCTCAAAATATCCCAACAAAAGATTGAAACATTACAAACTTACTTCCTTAAAGCTTGATATGCCATCAAACCCAACACAGAACTAAGACCACATTGGGATTAGGTGACTCCAACTGTAAGCAGGCAAAATGAAAACATCAGCCCTCGTGCAAAAGGGTTAAGCTTATGCCAAATAAAAATGAAAACATATAAACTACTGTAATGAAATTATTCCTGGTAGACTTGATGGAATGGCACGAAATGTTTATGACATTGATAAATAACCAACTTCCACTACCAAAAATTTATAACAGAATAACTTTCCAGCAAAGGAAGTATTCGAGGTGCTTTGTATATTAATTCTCAGTTCTGCAATTAGACAAGGCTGCTAGTTAAGAAATTCATCACATATCTACGTAAGATAGAACTACGGCTAAACATATAAACTACAATCTGCATGAATACACAGAAAGGCATCTGAAGATAGACATCGGATGATTACAGCAGTTAATCTTAAATGTGTGACCATCCCTATTATATCATCCAACGTCAACAGAGACATCATTTGGTAGTCACTACAACCATTAAGGACACTCATGACAGCATAAGTATGTTCTTTCTAGAAACTTGTCCTTTTTAACACCACTAATAATGCAACAAAGCCCAATAGCATAAACAAGATTAAAAATCTTTTCAAAAATAAATATAATTAGGTAGAACAAAAGAAATTATTAAAATTATGAACATGAAAAAAACGTACTAAAGTAAAGAGCGGTGAGTATAATTTGATACAGAGATTGCTAGTGCAAATGATGTGCTGAATCGTGCCATGGACAAGCATGGATTTGAATTTTGGAGGCAGATCAGGTGCCCTGCGAGGAATATGAAGGTTCCCTATTGCCAACACTAACACCATCCCTCTATTACCAACCAAACGGCTTTCCTTCATTCTACACTTACAAAAAAAAAAAAAAAGTTTTTCTTTTTCTCTCTCAATGCTCAATCATCCTCAAAACCTCCATAAACCCAGATCATTTCTCAGCAATTTATTGATAAAACAGGACTATCCATATAAAAAAATCAAATTTTCACATGCAAAAGATCAGCTTTTAAACCCAGTAACAGAAAAATAATAGTCCAATAAACTACAAACTCCTATGAATAAAGTAAAGAAATTGTAGGGAATGATCGTTAATTACCCATTAAAGAGAAAGAAGAAGCGATCATTAGCAACGGTTCTTAAGTAAAAACAAAACCAGACTGATTCCTTCCACTCCGTGGCGCCAAGTTGATGTTGTTAAACTAAAAACATGGAATATTTGTCCATGTTAATTTTGTTTTTAATATTTTTTTTCCTTGGTAGCACATTTTTTCCAACGGGGTGTTTGGTAGTGGGCTGCACTTATCCCGAATTAATCTATGTTATATTCCAACTATATTTTGAAAGGAACAATGTGAATTGTCAGGGTGTATAGAAAGTTAACTACAAGTCTCTGTACAAATATGATCTGTCCAGTAACTTTGTTTTTAACAGGATGGATAGATGATCCCTCATCTTCCCAAGGGTTTGAAGTTAACGATTACATTGTTTTATTGTCTTATTTTAAGTTAAATCACTTGAAACTCACATTCTACTAAACCTATGTTGCATAGTTATCTCAGCATAACAGCTTTACCTAGGTTCTAGGATCTTAGTAAGTCTGCTATGTTCATCATTGCTCATATCCAAAACATTGATATAGAATCATGATTCCAAAGCCTTTCTTCAAAGGCTTCTAAGTTCAGCTTCATCAGTTGGGTGATTATGGGAAATTGTTTTAGGAAAAAAGCTCATGACCCCAACCAACCACAACCTGAACCAGCTCACCCACCTACTGGTTTGTTTCTCATTTCTTGTTTTGTCTGTCAAATTTTCAATTGAAACGTATTGTTGACCTGGACATGAATCTTTTTTAGCGCATTGAAATTATGTTTTTATGTTTCATTTCTTTTCAAGGAGTTGATGCCATTCAAAGTTCTCGTCCCAAGATCTCCACATCATCAGCTCAACAGCAGACTTCATCTGGTCCTTCAAAATCTTCATACCAAGTAGCCTTTGTTTTCTTAAGAACTGTTTTAACCATGAATGATCCGCTCATGTCCTTTTCATTCTTGACGCAGCAAAGTCTTGTAAAGACGAACAATATGGTAAGACAGGCCAAGAGAGAAACAAGCATGATTCTTCACATTCACGTAAAGGTATAAAAACTACTGAATTCCCCAATTCTGTAAAAAGAGTTTATTTCCTAGTGGCATGCCCTATTTCCTTTGTAGAAAGGCGTAGGAAGAATAAAAAGAATTGTTCTCCAACAACTCCAAAAGATTGGCCAGTTTCAAAAGTGGAGAAAGTTGGATGGGTTCCAGCTCGAAGCATCAACTGCTTTTATTACAGTGTCTTGAGGGCTGCCACCAAGAAATTCAGTGATAAGAATTTAATTGGAGAAGGTGGTTTTGGAGGTGTGTACATAGGATATATAGATCCATGCAGTATGAAAGCCGCGAAACCAGAAGCTGGCAAGGCAGTTGCTATCAAGACGCTCAGAAGAAGAGGAACACAGGGTGAAGAAGAATGGCTGGTATGGTTCTGATCAAATTATCTCCCAACCTCGCTTCATTGTATCTGAGAACTATATATGTTCTGTTGAGTGCAGAATGAATTGAGATTTTTAAGCACATTAAATCATCCAAATGTTGTGAAACTTGTCGGGTATTGCTATGAGAGACATCATAGGATTTTGGTTTACGAGCACTTGACCAACAGAAGTTTGGATGCTTTCTTAAGTGGTAAAGCTCAATACTGTACTTACCGCGCCATAGACAAATACTTGAAACATTAAAACAATGTCGAGATGTGCTGATGCAATGATGGAACTAACATTAACAATCTGTAAATTGGCATACAGAAAACGATACAGAGCTAAACTGGAGTAGAAGAATCAAAATAGCCGTTGGAGTAGCCAGGGCAGTAGATTACCTTCATGCTCGTGCGAGGCCAGTTATTCATCGTGACCTTAAAGCCTCCAATGTCCTTCTTGATGCTGTTAGTCTCTTATCATGATACTAATTTCTATGCTTCTGATTTACGCATACACTAAAATCTTGCCCCAAAAGCTTTTAATGGATCCTGGCTGCACAAAGTATTCATTTTGTAAATATTCAGCTATGCGGGTCACATTGCAGGAATTCAATCCTAAACTGTCAGATTTTGGACTGGCTCGGTATGGACCCCTAGACGACCAATCACACGTTTCTACAAAATTCCTTGGCACGCGAGGCTACTTCGCTCCCGAATACTTTAGAACAGGTATATATTTCAGCTTATCATTCGAAGCCAGAGAGTTTCGTATATGGGAGAACAAATAGGTTTTACAGTTTACACCCTTCAATACGAGCTAAACTTTATAAACAATTCGCAGGACATTTGACGGTGAAAACTGATGTATACAGTTTTGGAGTGGTACTCCTAGAAATATTCTCTGGCAGTGTTGCAGTCCAGAAACATACAGACGGCACCATGAGGGATCTAGTTATATGGGCTAAACCACATCTAAGCAACCAAATGGAACTTCATAACATCATCGACAAGAAAATAGCAATGAACATTGAGAGGGAAGAAGCTCAAAAATTTGCTTCAATCATCCGCCAATGCCTTAAGTCAGACCCTAAGGATCGACCCACAATGGGTGAAGTACTAGCAAATCTAGAGCAATTGCAGAATGACATGTTACTACTATTCAATTTGAACACACTTAGACTATCCAAATACCATAGAAAGGAACACATATTTTAACAAGCTACCAAGAAGTAACCGATGTCATATGTAAGTTTCTTTTTGCTCATATTGCTCAGCTACAGAAAAAGTCGTCTTTTAATATCCCTTTGAACTCTATATCTTTTTGTAGAAATGTAAAATATTCTGATCCACTTATTTATGATTAGTTTTTTTCTTGAAGATAACCTAACTCGTGATATTATATGCAGGCTAAGCACTTTCTTTATATAAGAACAAAGATAATCATATTCTACAACATGATTAACATTATGCATAGGGATTATTATTCATAAAGACTAGGATAAATGTTGGGTTACATCATAAATACAAGCATCAAAATTCATTGAATCGAAATAAGGTTAAGATTAATATCCATCACCGAAAGGAAGGTACTAATTTGCTAATGAAAGAAAGCAGACTACCACAATGAGAAACTCTAATCCTTCCGAAACAGAGGAGGTGCTAATTTGAGATATGAAATGCAAAATTGCATAAAAAAACACTAAAAAATTACATGTTATAAGCAACAAAACAGATATACATACACATGGGAGATTTACGGATGGAATCAATGTACTCGTGGGGATTGCCTGTGAGATCGTAACGGAGATGCACTGGGTGTTAGATGCGAAGGAGAACGATGCTGTCTCATCGGAGATTTCCGAACATGAAGTGGAACTGAGTGCTGTTCTGATTGAGGGTGTTTGGATGCATTTTTAGGGGCCTCGAGCTGCTCCAATGCTGCCAAAACTTCAGACATTCTAGGCCTGAGTTTAGCTTCACTACTTAGGCACCGTAAAGCAAGGGTAGCAGCTGTATAGGCACCTTTCTGGGGGTACTGACCCCCCAACTTAGTGTCCATAATTCGAAATAATTTTCTTTTGTCACGCAAATAGGGTTTTGCCCAGTCTACTAGATTCTGCTCCACACCAATTTTTGTTTTATCGACAGCACTTCGTCCCGACAGTAGTTCAAGCAGCACAACTCCAAAGCTGTATACATCACTCTTAGCTGTCAATCGACCTGTTCAAAAATGAAAGCCTTATTACATGTAACTTCTGAATAGATATAATATGCAAGCTCCATTTAATTGAGAACAATCTCACAGAGAACACATTGAATCTGAGTGCCTACTGTTTTTTCAGACAAACAGTTTGCATATGAAAGATAGAACCCAGAAAATAGTTGCTTTGCCTAAGTATCCTACTTTTGGACCAAAGGCACTGCATATAGAAGACAGAACAGACAATATGCTGCCTTCACTTTAGATAACTTCACTGAAACTAGAAAAACTGTTAGATAATTAGAACTAGCCACTATCAGACTGTAACTGTTCTTATCTGGTACATTTTCCTCATTAAGAAACATGAGATATTGAAATTCAGAGTAATCAAGAGTCAAGGTATCAGAAGTAGTTGCAGACAAAAAACAAATGAATTTTTAAGTTCAGCCGGATAAGTTTCATTGTCAGAGATTTCAAAGCTTTCTTTCTCCAAGTGCATTTGTAAAGCAGATGCCTTCTCAGATTTAAGATAAGATTTAATTTTTCAGCAACAAATATCTCTAACAGCAAATTAAGATAACTAAGAATTTATGAGCAGCCTTCAGAAAAAGTAAGCATAAATGTGGGATTTCACTAAATCTCATACCTGTAGCAACATATTCAGGTGCTGCATAGCCATGAGTACCCATGACCTGAGTTGACACATGAGTCTTATCACCAGTAGGCCCTGCCTTGGCCAATCCAAAGTCAGAAAGTTTTGCATTGAATTCCTGCAGCCAATGGATTATTACCATCAGCAACATATATAAAATTTATAATACATACAATTTTAGACATAATATTAGAAGGCACAATTATTCTTTTTCTTTACTTAGCATACCGCATCTAGTAGAATATTAGAAGCTTTGAAATCACGGTATATGACTTGGGATTTTAAATCATGAAGGAAAGAGAGCCCTCTAGCAGCACCTATGGCAACCTTAAGCCTCACTGCCCAAGAGAGTGGCTGTGGCCCTCCTGTAAAACAAGACATAGCATCAAAGGTTATAAAATACTTTCCACAATATCCAGATATACTACTGTTTGGTTGTTTAAGATACAATAGTGCATGGGAAGCCTCCATCAGGACTCATCATTAATTCTAGCCATGGCAACTGTATGTTGCTTTATGGGTTCAGAATATACTTGCTGTCAAAGCCGTGTGAAGAAATCCAGACAGGTATGAATGAAATAATACTCATTATGTTATAAAGTCAAAAGGAACCAGAACAAGCCAATCAACTTCACTTTATGTCATCCAGGCAAGACCAATATTTGTAATAGCGACTGAAAACATATGAAAGGAAAGGTTTCCAATTCCCTTGTTATGTTTTCAAGGCAACTATTTGAGGATAAAGATTAATTTCCATAGAGTAACAACATATAATATAATCGAATTGGATTCCAAATACCTTCCTTAAAATTAATGGACACAATACTTTTAAAAGAATGATTTTCTGAAAAATTTTATAGGATGTGATACTTACTTCTAAACAGATGATTCTCTAAGCTTCCCTTGGGCATGAACTCATAGACCAAAAGTCGGTTCTCACCCTCTGAGCAATATCCAATCAACTTAACCAGATTTGGATGATGAAGTTGGCCAAGATAATCAACTTCCGTCTGAAATCAACAGACTATCAGTAAAACACACACACAGGAAAAGCAGAAGGAATAAAAAGATAAAGATGTTATAGAAATGAAACCTACCAACCACTCTTTGTGACCTTGAAAACCTTCAGGTTTAAGCTTCTTGACAGCAACAACCATTCCTGATCCAGGCTTTGCAGCAGCTAATGTGTGTTCATCAACCCATCCTTTAAAAACATAACCAAAACCACCTTCACCAAGGAGACTGTCAGGACGAAAGTTTCTGGTGGCATTCTTCAACTCATTGAATGAGAAAGGTTTCAAATTGGGGGATGACAATATTTCTCCTTCGGTCCTTGGTGTTGGAAGACATCCAGTACTACTTGTTTCACTGAAAGATGGAATGGTCAAGCTTGAAGGAGCTGAAGAACGACTGGTCTTGCTGGAAATTCTTGAGCCTCCTGATGCTGGAAAGAGAAAAACGAGTTCCTGAGTTCCAGTTGCTAAATAAAGAACATAATACCGTATCAATGCAAACGAAATTCAAACATTAAGTTATCTAACATCTATGGTCTTCCCATGAGGGTGTTATGCATCACGCAACCACCTAGTGGGTAATTAATTTTGTTTATGGAGCATGTAATATGAGAATACACATTATTGTATTTCCATATAAACCTCTCCTTAATTTTTTGAAGCAAATGTCTTTTATATCTAGATTATGAAAGATAATAAAATAACTCGGGACTTAGATATAAATTTGTCCATACTCACTACATGATGATAGTGAAGTCACAATTGACCTAGTTAACCAGACAAATTTATTTCAATAAAGGTTTGCCACATACATCCCTGTTTAAAACTCTGCAACAATCATTAGTTAAAAAATCACAGATTATGCATATGTGATAGCACTCCAAGCAAGCACCTACTGTTCTTGTACCTACCATTGCATTTCCTTCAAAACATAAGTTTGTAGTATATCTTTTTCCAACAAGAACCCTGCATATTCATGTAGTTATGAACATTCCAAACATTATAACAAAAAATTTGCAGTAAAGCTAACACTTTCTTGTAGTTTGCATGCTGAAACTCATAAAAAAATTCATTAGAAAAAGAGCACCATTGACCATCCAAAACAAAATAGTTTCAAGTGAACTAGATCTATTCCCAACACAATCTCTTGAACTGAAACTCAAGAAATTGAAGAATAGTCTCAAGAATCTAGCTTTGAGCACCTCTTTTTATACCTTGAACCAGCACTAAAAATCCATAACTAAAAATCCATCCAAAAGTCTTCAGAAAAACAATAAACCACCAAAACAACAAATACCCATCAAAGGAAAATTTTAAACGAAAGAAATGGTTACCAGAAGTTGCACGAGGGCTTTGGCTGTAATTAACTCTAGTAGAAGAAGACAAGCAGTTGCCCATCAGAAAGAAACTAGTACTTCACAAAAGAAAATAAAAAAGAAAAAAAAATACTTCTCTTTTCTTCTTTCTTTTCTTTTATAAGAGCTAACAATTCAACAAGTCATGGAAATTTCTTAGATCCCAAGAAGAAAGGAAACTGAAAAACGGCTCTCTTTGGATCAGAATCAGTTTCTCTTCCATGGAGCTTTAGTTTGGTATGATTTGGTCAGTCAAGCTGCACAACTTTTGAAAAAGAACTAAATTATCGGTTGAAAATAAGGAGAAAATGGAAAAATCAAAAAAGAAAGAAACAGAGAGAAGCTAAGCTCAGGGAAGAAACTGGAGTTCGGGTTTTTTTTCTTGTCATCCGGGGTGTGGGGGAGAGAGACCAGACTAGACAAGATAAGACAAGACAAGACAAACGCGTGGGCAGGGCCAAGGGGAACTTGGCCTTAGCTATGACGTTTGCAGCCACAAAGGCAGGCAACTCGACTCGTTTGCTTGCCTGGCTTGTTGTTGATGGCAAGCATGAATTCTCTTCTTCAAGAGCACTTCTATTTACACTCTAATTTGTTTTTATGTTTTATATTTTATATTTTTTAAAATAAATTATTTAAATACTCTGTTCATAAGTTTTGAAATATTCATCATTTTTTAAAAAGTTATAATACTTTTAAAAATATATTTACGAAAAAACATAATATTTTTTCAAAATATTTTTCCAAAAATTATAACATTTTTTAAAAATGTATTTATGAAAATATTAAAATAAAATTTTATGAAAATTAAAAAAATTATTAAAACTATTTATAAATTAGTATAAAAGAAGCATGCGTTGCAGGTGAAGCATATAATTATTCATCTCCAACAAAATAAGGCAGGTCAATCAAAAAAATATTTCATAAAAATAATCAAGGTTTCAAAATTATATATTTTTTATAAAAAAATTCATAATTTAAAATAAAGAGAAAATTTATTGATATTAAATTTTAACATTTACATTTATTAAATAATATTTTTTAAAAATAATTATATAAATTAATTAAATTAAATTTTGGTTTAAGAATATATGTTTTACGTATTTAATTATAAACACAAATTTTGGTAATGCTTTACATATTTGTGGATTTTCATTGACTACTGCCTGAGATTAAAAAAAGGGTGTTCATACTTAGATACCCATCATTTTTAGCTTGGGATTTATTTCCTCTTTCTTCCTTAATAAAAAATGGCAAAATCTTTTTTTTTTTTTTCCTTATGATGAAATTTACCGTTTGGGATTTACTTTAGCTAATTTTGGCTCGTGTGCTCATTTTATGCTTATAGGTGGAGCTTTTAATAATTTGCCAGACAGTTTCGGCTTCAATTAATTATGATTTTTAAATAATTAAATAATTATAATTAATTAATAAATTAAAATATAATTAAACAACCAAACTCATATCTAATAAATTTTAAATTTTTAAATTTTAATATTTTAAAATTTGGTTGCCTCTAAATCAAAATCAATGCCTATTTTCAGATAATATTTTATTTAAATAAATTCGTTGGAAACATAAATGAAAAAAGAAAACAACAACAAAAAAATGTTAAAGAATATAAATGTGAAGGCATATGCCGAAAATTTCTGAATTATGTTGCACGTGCTACATGTCCAATACACTTGCTTTACTTCTAATTCACCTCTTGCAATAAAAATCCAAGTTTCAATAATGTCACACGAGATTTTATTACCAACTTTGGATTCAAATCTAGCTGCCTTTTGGCTTCTATTTTAATCATTTTAGCTTTACTATGAGTTATCCTTTTGAAGTCTACAAGAGAGAGAAAATATTATTTACGATGATTATATTATAATTATTTATTTATTTATAATTTATTATTATATGAAATTTATCAAAATTTTATATATAATTTATTATTATAAATAGAAAATTTTTATATAATACTTAATTATATTATATAATCTATATTGCTTTGCTTGAAAGCAAAAGATATGCCATTAGGCACATTCCATATGTCCCACATGGCCATATAAGAGTCAAAGATCACTCTCAAAACAGGTCTTATTCATGGCTAATTGGTCATGATTGGCTTCCTCACATTTTACGCAAGAAAGAAACTCTGAGCTAAATATTTCAAACTTTCACTTAAAAGTTTTACAAGGTCAATAATTTTTACAATTTTATAGAAACATTATAAGAAATTATTCGAAACCAAGGTAGGTCCAAAATGTGAATAGATTGCTCATGGTAAAGAATTTTTTGTCAAATGGCATCAAAATATTCTAAAGAGTTTTGAGTTGATATGTTTATCCGTATTCCATAATTCCAATGTCCTCCATTGTTGACATTTCTCTCTCTGATCTGTTCTTTAATTGAGAAGTAAAGACAAACAAAAGGTCAAAAACCCTTTTCTCACCGCCATGGATGGGAATTGGAAAGTCCATGCTTAGCTAATCCATTCATCAGCTTTTTTTGTTCTTATTTCCTGGCCTGCCTGCCTGCAAGCAAAAAGCCAAAACGAGTATCAGCTGGTGTGATCTGCCCCCTGATTTGGTTTCCCAAATAGTAATACAGACAGATTGACTGTTTCACGTTTTTACATGGTACAAAAGTTTGCCATTAATTTTCTTTCTTGAAAGTTTCTGTTCAGAAGTGTCACGATCATTTTTATATTGATCAAACAAACATGAGTTGACATTGTAACGGTCTTTCCTTGTGCCTCTTTGGAAATTTCTAGGGAAATGACTCAGCTTAAGGACTAATATATTAATCAAGTGAACAAAACCAAGAAAAGAAACAAATTCTTCCAAGAGTGATGACCTGATGAAGATGCATGTCCCCAAACGATAATTGGTTTGAGTTGCAAGACATTGGATTAAATAGAATTAACTGATTGACTTTATTACGGGGTTTAATACATAACGGCAATTTCCAGCCTAAAAAAGTTAATTTAAAGCCGCGTTGCAAGGTAGATACTGCCTGGTGGTGGTGCTGGTGGGTCACGGCTGGTCCCCTTCTGATATGACAACTGATTGGAGGAAGCAGGGCCCAAAACGCTCCTCCCCTCCGTCACGGTAGTGCTGATACTTAAAAGTTGTTTCAACATGCAAGGGACGTGTAAAAACCTTGTCCAGATCCCCATGTTTTAATCTCATAAAAGTCTTCTGTTTGTCGACAATTCTCATTCAGGGTTTGGCCTTGTTGCTCATCAACAACACGTTGAGAAGTTTCTCATGAGCATCCATGGCCATGGGGTCCAGAAAGGAACATCTGTTTAGCCCTTTTCGACAGCACTTTGAGGGCCTGCACTAGGGTTTGCATTGCAGCTGGTAGATTTGGAAGGCTGTTAATCTTCCAATCTATGCGAATCAATGGTAGAACACATGATAAAATTCTTTATAAATGTATCACAATTTATATATTCCATTCTGATTTTTTGTTAGAAATAATTTTGCAGAGATGAGGATGATTATTTCTACCCATCCATTAAACCAAAAAGGAAGAAAAAAGGTAACAAATCCATATATCTAAATGCCTAGATTGGTCAAAAAGCTATATGGTCCCTTAGTTTATGATGTTAAATGTAAAAATGGCTCTCTTTTTGACCTTGCCAAGTTTTTTATAGTATTAAAACACTGTAGAATATATACCTCATCTCATGTAATTGTTGGCTGAAAACACTATAGCAAATGACAGATGATCAGACAGGTGAGCATGGGCTCCGGTGATTGGGGTATAGTATGTAAAAGTTTGAAATGGAGGCCTAAGTAGCTGGCACCTTGAGAAATAAAGTGAAATTTCATTGCTGAAGAACATTTACTTCATGCTTGATCTAAATTATTTTAAGGGAAGGTGGTACCATAACCAGATTCCAGCCCATGAACCAACAATCGTCACATTTTAGCATGGATGCTCAAGCCTGGCTAGATCATGGGCCACTTTGTTCCCTTCACGCCTTACACGAGAACAAACAAACGATGCTGAAAGGCCTTAATCAAAACTACGCTACGAGTTTATGAGTCATGCATGCAGCGTACTTAACTTATTACTTCATTTCATTTGAATTCAGAGGGCTGAATATTATTATTTTCTTGAAATGTACATCACGTTTTGGACAATAAACCAAGTATTTAGAAGATAATTGCAACGAAGCTCTGTTCCTCCATTTACTTGCTATGGCCTGTCAAGTTCGCGTAAGTTGATGGCATTATAGATATTTTCGACTGATTTTCTCAGGTTAATTTGAGTTTGTACCACTCAATCTTTTTGGTTTCCTTTCCCTTAAGTATCCAAAAACAAGCGCTTGGGATATCATGTTGGGAATTAACTGGCGGGGTACCATATACAACATAATTTACATGTTTGTGTTGTTATTTTTGAAGCAAAGAAAACTTTACTCACTGTTTGCATTTTTAACATCATAAACATTACAATTTAAAGCCTAATTAATAACTACCCACTAAAATTATAATCCTAAGATTAAGCCATGACCACCAGCATGAATAATAAAAAAAATAATCAACACTAGAAAAACAGGAAACAACATGAAACATTCAATGAATCCACATTAGCAGTTCTAAACACATCTTCTAACACTCCTCCTTGCTTTAGGAGCTGCAAACACCAAGTTTTGTCCTCAGAAATTCAAAATTGCTAACTGGCAGTGGCTTGGTGAAAACATCTGCAACCTGATCTTCTGTTTTACAGTAGACAAGAACAACAGCTCCATCTTTCTGTACTTCCCTTAATAAGAATAACTTAATATTAAAATGTTTAGTTTTCCTGTGAAACACAAGATTTTGAGAGATAGCAATGGCAGCTTGATTGTCAACAAGAATCTTCGTGCTTTCCTTCTGCTCTAAGTTAAGATCGATTAAAATCTTCCTTAGCCACAAAGCTTGATTAACAGCAGCTGTTGCAGCAATAAACTCTGCTTCAGCTGTGGATTGAGCTACAATTTCTTATTTTTTTTAGCTCCATGAGAAAACACCAGAACCAAGTGTGAAACAATAGCCTGAAGTGCTCTTCATATCATCAATGGAACCTCTCAATCACTATCTGAAAAATCAACTAGCTTGAACTCTTTGCTCTTTGTGTATTTAATGCCAAAATCACTTGTGCCTTTCACATAACTAAGCACCATCTTTGTAGCCTTGAGATGCCATTCACTTGCACAATGCATAAACCGAGACAAAATGCTTACAACATTCAAAATGTCAGGCTGCGTTGCTGTGAGAAACATTAAGCAACCAATCAGGCTTCTGAAATATGCCTGATCAATCTTCTCTGTTCCATCTTCTTTACAGAGCTTTTTTTTTAGTTCATTTGGTGTCCTCATTTCTTTACATTCTTCGAGTTTAAACTTCTTCAGAATCTCCTTGGCATATTTCTTCTAACAGATGAAAACTTCATGTTCATTCTGTTTGATTTCCATTCTAAGAAAAAAAGGTCATCAATCCAAGATCTGTCATTTCAAAAAATTTTATCATTTCTTGCTTAAACTTCTCCACAATGCTTGTGTTGTTTTCTATCACAAGTAAGTCATCCACATATAGTGAGAT